AGGTCATGCACGTGGAGCCAAGGGTCTCTGATTCTTGAGGCTCAGAAGATTTCTTGGGAAGGTGAGGAGCCCACTGTTCCCATGCCTCCACCAGAATCCAGAGATGGTTTGGGATGATCCCATAAATGTGCCTGCTGCAGCTTTTTGAGTATCTTTTGGGATTGGCCAAACACCCACTGGCACACCATTTAAACAGGTGGGAAATGGTTTTGGGGGGGCTGTGTTGGACAAACATTCCGGATCTAAGCCTGAAGAATTAGCCAAAGTCACCCAAACATTTGGTTTAGGTTGGCAAACTGGCAAATCTGCGTGGCTAAAAGCAAGCAAAGCAAAAAAGCAGAAGCATAACTTTGGATTTATTGACAGGAAGTATTACTTTGCAGCCACTCAGCAGGCTGTCATGGCTGAGCCCATGAGAAATCAAGATAAATCAGCTCAGTGTGTGTGTGCAGGGCTGGGAATGTTGGGTTGGGAGTGCAGGGCTGGGGAATCCCTGAGTCCCCCAGGAGCCAGCTCCGTGCTGGGCCTGCCTGCACGCTCTGTAAATGTTTTTATTTTAACTGTAAATTGGTATTTACAAGTGCTGATGATAAAAAAGCTGATACTTTTCTCGAGGTATAAATTATGGTTTTACTCTTTCTTGTTGGATTATGCTCTTTTCTGACTCAGAGGCATTTTAAAAACTTTTATTCTATTTTTAGTCTCATGAGAATGGTGAGACAACACAGATGTTATAATTCACCTTATTGCAATTACAAGCTCACTGGTTTTTAATTACAATACACTATAAGTGTAATTTAATTTCCTCTAAATCCACTTCCCACATTTCTCAGATGACAATTTAAAAAGTTGGGATGATTTTTTTCCCATGTTTGTCGTGTTTATCAGACTGGGGAAGGATCTGCAGAAGGCAGCAAGAAATGGTCCTGGAAATGTCTGAGGCACAGAAAATGGTGTTGATTTTCTTAGAGAATTCAACACATCAGTGAATTTAAAGCACAGTGTGAGGGACGAGGACTGGGGACAAAAGTTCTGAAGAATTTCTGAAAGTTTTTAATTTAATTTTTTTAACTTCTGAAAGTTTTTAATTTCACACAAGTTTGTTCTTAGTTCTGGGCATGAGAAGCATCAATCATTGGCCTGGAATCCCCATTATTGATCCTTGCAGAGCCAGGGAAGGGGGTGGGAAACCACTGATTGTCTTCCCTGAGCTCTCAGAGCTGCCACTAAAATCTCACCATTTTTAGGTGGTTTTTTTCCACCTGGCAATACTATTTTCAGATCTTATCCCTCTAAAGGTATCTCCCCCCACCTCCTGCTGGGATGTCCCTATGGACAGGCAGCAGCTTTTCCAGATTATTTCTGCTGGCTGCTGGGAATTTCAGATTTCTGTGCTGCCAGGCACTGACCCCCAGGAGAGCTCTGCACTGACCTGAGGCCCTGGAGAAGCTTCCAAAATGGAATGACAGAACTGGGATTGTGGCTGTGGAGTTTGGAGAGAAGTGTGTGATACCACAGGGTGGGAAACTCAGAGTTTAAGGGGTAGAATGTAGTGATAAATATAGAGCAAGATGGAGGTTTTGGGGTGGAGGTTGGTCCTTCTGCTTCACTTTCTTCTCCATGGATTCGGGTGATTTTGTGTAATTAAATAAAAAGTCCACATTTCAGGTCATGGGTGGTTGGTTATTGGGTAAAAGTGAAAATAATTGAGGTTTAATTTCTTAATTAGGCATTTTATCCTTAAAAGGCCTTGGAGAGAGAGATGAGGCTCCATTTTTAGTGTGTCAGGGTGAAGTGCTGCAGAACTCAGGGTTTGTGGGACTGTAACACAGGTAATAACTAACAAACACCTGAGTCCCAACAAGAAATACCCTCTCACACAATTAATTTTGGCAGAATTAAATGGACATCTTGCCGGGGAGACCAGCCCTTCACAGTCTGCAGGGCTGAAAGCAGCAGCAGCACCCTGTGAGGAGCAACCAGCTTCCATCCCTTTTATTGCTCTGCAACATGACCAAACAGCCTTTGGCAAAGCAGACCACACACACACACACGTCCTGGCTCTGCCTGGCAGCCAGTGACACCGCACTCCCCGACAGAAAATCCCAATGAACTGATGGCATCTTGCTCTGGCAATATTTCCCCCTCCATCCTTAATTCCGCGTGGGGCTGTGCAGGGAGATAAGCCCAGCATGAAGCACAGAGCTGGGTCAGAGCAGGGTTAACCCTTCGTGTACACATTCATGGCTCTGGGTGTGCTCCCATCCCCGCATCCACAGGAAAACGCACAGGAGTCGCTGTTTATGGAGCCCTGAGGATGAACCTGCAGGAAATGCTGATTTTTCTGGCATCACAAGCACCTGCCACGGGGCCGTGGGTTCCACCTCCCCAGATGCTCCGAGGAGCCCAGGGACAGCAGGGTCCTGCAGGACAGGGACCCCCAGCCCACCCCGAGCAGCAGGAGGGGCTGAAATGCAGCCAGCCTCTGCTGCAGGAGCACGGGCAGCACGGAATTTGGCCAATAAAGTACCTGCAGTATGCATGAGCCCCCTGCTAAATGCTAAATAAAGAGCAATATTTCATTTTTAAGCAGAGGGTAGCCACTTACAGCTCCTGGCAGGGGCCTGTGCTGCTCAGAGAGCTTCACCAAACAGGGTTGGTGCAGCTCCTAAACCCCCTGAGACAGGGAGTGGGAATGGGAGAGGAATTGGAATTGTGAGCAGAGGGCAGCAGCTGGCCTGGAAAACCCCTCAGCACTGAGAGCTGGCACTGGATGAGCCCAGCAGCAAATCTGGGCAAGGCTGTGCCAGCCCCCACAGCTGGCAATAAACCCCTGCTCACAGCGGGCTGGGGGCAAAAAGGAGCAGCACCAAAATTCCAGGGGCACCAGGAACACATCCCCAAGGACGGGACAGGGACAGCTGCAGCAGCACTGCCTCAGGGGCAACAGGGGCTTTGGGACAAGGAAAAGGGTAAAAGAAGTGTTTCCAGAGTGATAGCAATCCAAAATTATAAATATATAATGTAGAATATATTTCTATATAATATATTTTTTATATTTTTGCCTTTTTATATTTACATATTTATATATTCTATATTATATAATATAGAATATTATCTCTATTCTATATTGTATATAACACATCATATATTATTTATTATATTTAAATTTATAATATTTAAATATTATATTATATATCATATTATATATCATATATTATATATTATATTCTATCGGAAGAGGGGAAAAGCAAAGCTCAGATGTCACTGTGCACCCCCTGTTTTTATTCCACTGATACTCGAGCGAGGCTGAGGTTGGGCTGACTTCCTTTACTATTCAAGTTATTTTACTTTAAATGCAAAGAAGCATGAACTGGATGGCTGTGAATTTGCCAATTTTATCTTCATTTATGTACAGAGCCCCTGAATTCCACTGCTGATTGAATTAACTGCGCTCTGAGGTTCATTTCAGCAATGGTATTGCTGCACTTACACAAGATGTGCATTTCTATTTGGGTTTGTTTTCTTAGAGAAAGCCATCAGGTTTTTTACCCCTGCTTTATTTTTATTTACTCTCCTGGTAAATGCTTCGAGGTGTAGCCAAACAGAATTTTATGATGCCTTCCAATTAGCCCACAGTCGCTCCGTTTTGAAGCATTTCAAAAAAGATTTTCCTTCCACTTGCCTTCAATTCATTAAACTGCTGAAATGACCGCTGTTATCCCAAGAGGAGCCTTTAAAAATGTGCAAAAATGGAAAAAAAGATCCTTGCTGTGCCTGGTTTGTGCTCCTGGTGCTTTGCAGGCTGCTCTGAGAGGGGCTGCAGCCTCAGGGGACACCTGGGCACTGCCAGCTCCAGGGGACACCTGGGCACTGCCAGCTCCAGGGGACACGGGGCACTGCCAGCTCCAGGGGACACTGGGCACTGCCAGCTCCAGGGGACACGGGGCACTGCCAGCTCCAGGGCACACCTGGGCACTGCCAGCTCCAGGGGACACGGGGCACTGCCAGCTCCAGGGGACACCTGGGCACTGCCAGCTCCAGGGGACACCTGGGCACTGCCAGCTCCAGGGCACACCTGGGCACTGCCAGCTCCAGGGGACACGGGGCACTGCCAGCTCCAGGGGACCCTGGGCACTGCCAGCTCCAGGGGACACTGGGCACTGCCAGCTCCAGGGCACACCTGGGCACTGCCAGCTCCAGGGGACACGGGGCACTGCCAGCTCCAGGGGACACTGGGCACTGCCAGCTCCAGGGCACACCTGGGCACTGCCAGCTCCAGGGGACACCTGGGCACTGCCAGCTCCAGGGGACACTGGAGATCCTCAGGGAAGCCCACAGCATTCTGCAGGATGGAGGATCGGGAAGGGTTTGTCTGGAAAACAGAGCACTGGGTGCCTTGGTTCTGGCTCCAGCCTGAGTCAGCTCTCAGCTCTAATGATAATTACCAGGGGCTGTAGAAGAACCCTCAGGGCTCCCGAGACACACTGGGGGTACCACAAACCTGCCCACGGCATTTTTGTCTTTTGAAATCTTCCCCAAACGACGTGAACAGCCCAAACATCCCCATTTCTGCACTTTTCCAGAGAGCCAGGAAATATCATCGCTGTTATTTCCAGATCATTTCGTTTCCCATGCAGGACCCCAGGCATGGGAAGTATGTTCATGCAGAAAGTAATTCATTCCTTTGGCAAATGTTTCTTTTCAGGCTCCTTTTCCCTCAAAACAAAGCCACTGCTATTTAATGAGCGCAGTTCTCACTTTACCTCCCGCTGCAGGAAAATACATTCAGCTGAAATGTTCTATAATCACCTTTTAAAATAAATAAATACATTTTCCTGCAGTTCAGTGACACTGCAGAAATAGCAAGCTTGTAAAAAGGCTATTCAGATAAAGCGATTTCAATGGGTTTCAGCGCAGATAAATATCAATATCAATGCCCAGCTGAGCTCTGTGCTGCTGGACGAGCACGGGCTGGGGGAGAGGCAGCGATTTCTTACCCAGCCAGATGGAGTTGTGCAGCACGCCATCCCTGAAGCCCCAGGCTGCAGCCTGCTCGCACAGCAGGGCGGAGAGCAGCAGCAGTGCCATCGTCCCGGGCAGTGTCCCCGGCTGTCCCCGCCGCCGCCGGGCTGCCTGCGCTGCCCGAGCCTCCCGCAGCATCTGCGAGCCAGATCTTAAATACAGAGCTCGCCTCTGAGGTCACGGGGCTGCTCCAATTGTGCTGCTGCGCTGCTTACCCAACCTCCGCCGTGACTCACGGCTGGCTCTGCTCCTGCCCAGCCCGGCCAAGAATCCGTCCCGTTTCATCCCATCCCGTCCCGTCCCGTCCCATCCCATCCCATCCATCCCATCCCATCCCATCCCATCCCATCCCATCCCATCCCATCCATCCCGTCCCTCACTCCTGCAGCACACACGGACACTGCCCCAGCCAAGCTCTGCTCATTCCTCAGCACTCGCTGCCTTCCAATCCCACACAACAAACCCAGGAGCCAGCCTAGCTGCTGGGAGTGTCTGCAGCAGCCACGAGATCCCACACATCCCTCTCATCCTCACTGAACCATTCCCTCCTTCAGGGCATCCCACACATCCCTCTCATCCTCATTTCAACATTTTCTCCTTCAGGAGATCCCACAGACTCCCTCTAATCCTCATTCCCTACTTCAAATCCCACACACTCCCTCTGATCCCCATTGAAACATTCTCTCCTTCAGGAGATCCCACACATCCCTCTAATCCTCATTTCAACATTCCCTCCTTCAAGGGATCCCACACACTCCCCCTCATCCCCACAACATTCTCTCCTTCAAGGAATCCCACACACACCCTCTAATCCTCATTCCCTCCTTCAGGAGATCCCACACACTCCCTCTGATCCTCATTTCAACACTCCCTCCTTCAGGAGACCCCACACACTCCCCCTCATCCTCATTTAATCCCATACCCTCCTGAAACACCCTTGGAACCCCAAGAATTAGAGCTCCTGGCTTCTGTGGAAACGGATTTTTGGGTTAATTTTAAATAAATCACTCTAAAGCTTGGGATGTTTATCCCTATCATCCATCCATCCATGTAAAAGAATCAAAGCTTTTGGTACAATTCTGCTCCTGGCAGCCTTTCTAAATCCAGCAATGCCCGTCCTGCAGCTGCCATCAGGAATGCTTTTAGTCCTCTGAATTTGGGTTTATTTCCCTAGAGGATCCATTATCCTGGTGGCTTTATTTTCCCAGCGACCTGATCGATGACAAGAAGGCAGGAGAGAATATTTTGCACGGATTGTTTGAGTTCACTTTCCCTCCACGGGATCTGCAATTCCAAATCCAGCTCCGCTGTTGATGGAGCCAAGCTGCGAGTGTCGGGAGCAGCTGCTCTTTGTTCTGCAAGCGGCAGCCCAGGCTGCAGCCTTCCCCTCCAAAGCAGAGTGCAAGGTCTGATTCCCAGCCTGGCAGCTGCCTGCCTTCCCTCCTGGCTGCCCCTGCCTCCTGCAGCTGCTCCTGGAGCCGCAGAGGGAGAGGGGACAGCGGGGAGATGAGGGCATGGAAATGGTCTGGGCTCCATGCTCATGTTCCCCTAGAAAGCTCTGCCCTTGGAAAGCTCTGCCCTGCACTTGTGATAACTCAGCTCCTGAGCTGATCACTCAGCTCCTGGGTTTTCTCTTAGAACGAAATATTTTTTAACCTTCTCTCCTTTGTCTTGTAGTCAAATTCTCTTTGAAACCACCAGCTCACCACGTGGTGCTGAGCAGCCAGGCCTGGTGTTTTATCTGTGCTTCTTTGGTGCTCTACAGAATCCCAGCATCCCTGAGGCTGGAAAATCCTTCCTAGCCCATGGAATCCCAGCTGTGCCCACCCTGTCCCCAGCCAGAGCCCCGAGTGCCACCTCCAGGAGTTCCTGGGACACCTCCAGGGATGGGCACTCCAACCCTCCCTGGGCAGTTCCAATCCCTGAGCCCCCTTGCCAGGAAGGATTTTCCCCCCAATATACAAAAATGGGACTTTAAGGACTTCCAGAGCTCCTTTTCTGTTGTTGGTGTGAAGAGTTTGGGGCTGTGGGAACACAAAATGTTCCCTGCCAGAAGGGGCTGGGCAGGGACACCTCTGCTGCTGGGTTGGATTGATGGATATTCCCTTCTGGGAAAAGCCTGGGGATTCTTGTGCTCAGGATCCCAGAAATGAGGCTGGAAAAGAGCTCCAAGGTCCCAAAATCCCAGCTGTGCCCATCCCCACCCTGTCCCCACCCAGAGCCCCGAGTGCCACCTCCAGGGATTGATCCTGGAGGGATTTTCCAGCCTCCCTGATGCTGGGACTCCAGGAGAAGCCCTGTGGGGCTCAGCACAAGATTTACAGTGAACAAGGAGAGTTCTGCAGTGTCAGGAAAGTCCCACAGGGACTCATGAGATGGTAAAAGATCCAAATTTATTGTGAACTACAACTGCTTATATATCTATTCTGGGAGGGCTAGTAAAGTTTTACTGCAGTGATTGGGTTAATCATCACTTAAACAAACTCACACATTTTAAACATCTCTTGCTTGCACAGTTTGATGTCATTTTCTTATTTTGGTAAGTCAGTCTGATTTGAATCTTCTTGCAATTTTGATTTCTCTTGCCAAGGCATTTTGTCTGTCAAATCTCTTATGCTAACCAGGTCCAAAGTCCATCATCTGTCTTGTGTATCCCAACATCTCCCCCTTCTCTTTTCCACCAAAACCCCTCATTTAATGGCCTTATTAATTCATATCTGCACACACTGAAAGGTATCATGATTAAGACAATGATTATCAAAATTACCACATACATACCCATCCTAAAAAGAATCTTTTAGTCAAAAAACCTTAGCCATTAAAGGCTCAGGCTTGATCTTTATAAACTAAAAACATTTCTGATGGCAGCTGCAGGGGGGGGATTACTGGATTTAGAAAGGCTGCCAGGAGTAGAATTGTACCAAAAAGTTTGATTTTTATACACAGGGTGATAGGGAGAAACATCCCAAACTTTAGAATGATTTATTTAAAATTAACCCAAAAATCCATTTCCACAGAACCCAGGAGCTCTAATTCTTGGGGTTCCAAGGGTGTTTCAGGAGGGTGTGGGATCAAATTTGATTTGATTTGCTTTCCAAAATGTTTAGTGTAAATATTGGTGTAAAGTTCTGGAGGAGCTCTTCACCTCCAGGGCTGCCGAGGAAATTTTCTACCTGCAAATCCAGCAGAGCCTCTCACCACCAGGAGGACATTCCACAGCTGGACACAGCATCCAGCTGACATTCTTCAGCTCCCTTCCAAGTTTCCCACATTTAAATATATCCCAGACAGATCTTACAGAAACTGCAGTGGGATTTGTTAACTCTTTCCTTAACTTTTTCCTTAACTCTTTCCTCATTAAGATATAGTTGGGAAGTTTTTCTCTGGGTTTCACCAGCACTCAAAGTAAACCACCTAAACCATCTTTGGAAACCACCTAAACCACCCTAAACCAACTTTGGGAACCACCTAAACCACTCTAAACCATCTTTGGGAACCACCTAAACCACCCTAAACCATCCCAAACCACCCTAAACCATCCCAAACCACCCTAAACCATCCTAAACCATTCTAAACCACCCTAAACCATCTTTGGGAACAACCTAAACCACCCTAAACCAGCCTAAACCACCCTAAACCATCCTAAACCATGCTAAACCAACCATCCTAAACCACCCTAAACCACCTAAACCATCTTTGGGAACCACCTAAATCACCCTAAACCATCCTAAACCACCCTAAACCACCTAAACCACCCTAGACCATCTTTGGGAACCACCTAAACCACCCTAAATCATCTTTGGGAACGACCTAAACCATCCTAAACCACTGAAACCACTCTAAACCACCTTTGGGAAACACCTAAACCACCCTAAACCACCTAAACAACCCTAAACCACCTTTGGGAGTCACCTTGATGATTCCCAAATTGGTGTGACACCCACGGTGATAAAAGAGAGGGGAAAAAAGCACACAGGAGTTTAAGGAATGAACCATGGAGGATGAAGGAATTTTTAAAAAATAAAGTGTATGTGGGTCATGAATCTCTTGGCATTAATTTAAATATCAAGCACCTAAACTTTTCTTTCTTTTTCTATTTATATACACAGGGAGAATATTTACAGACAAAGTTTAGCTTTTAGATTTTGTATTCATAACTGATTATTGGTGGTATAGAATATATTACAATTACATTGTTCATGGCTTTGAGAATGATCCCCAGAACAATCCCAAAAATTATGGATTTAAATGGAAGGAATGCAGTGAAAAGCCTTTCATTGGATTTTTTTTTCTTTAAGAAACTGTAATCTCATTCAGAAAAAAATTACTCGGAGGGAAGTGCAGGGAAAGGAGTGAGGGAAAGAGGGAGTGGGAGAATTAAGGTTAAGTTTTTTCTTATGAGAGAAAACCTAAAAATAGCTGCTGCAAATTGAATTTACTTTTTGAATTTACACTGGGGGAAACCTGGGAATGGAGGAAGAGATATTGAACCTAAACAGATGAAAAAGCCTGACAATAAAATCATCCACATCCCATCCCATCCCACTGAGAGTTAAATTTAGGCTGAAAAGCTGAAGATAATTTCAAACCAGAAGCTGGGATAAGTTTTAGAACAGCCAAACAAGAAGAACACCTGATTTATTCTGGATATTTGAGGAGGAACTTGGACTTGATGTTCTTTAAAAAGAGGCCACGTCCACCTCTCTTATCTTTATCCCATTTTAAACCAATTTTATTTTATTTTAAACTTTTTTCCATAAACTGAGGTACAAGTTGAAGGGTTGTCCCAGGATCTCCATGGAAAACTTCAGAACCCTCAGGTCCCAACCAAACAGAAATAATCATCACTATTGATAATGATGATCATCATCATTAATTCATTCATAATTATATCATTATTATTAATAATGATCATTATTGAAGATCATTATCTTTATCAATGGCAGAAATAATAATGAATTATTCCTGCTGGATACTCAAACCTTCCTTCCCCAGAACATCTGGTATTAACTCAGTCTGTCCTGCTGCAACTTCAGCTTGTTTCGTCTTTTTTTTCTTTAGCAATTAAACACATTTTTTAGTGCCTCTTCATAGCAGGAAAATTATGTTGCAA